TTAAATTTGCTATAATATTTCACAGTATTACTTTTTACTGTATTTACTGAGCATAAATTCAACATGTAAAAAAAAAAATCCATTGATTGATTTTAATTTTGCCTTGAAATTACAAAATATGTGAATCTATTTTACCTAGAAGGTCAAAAATGTTCTCAGCAATAATGATTAAATTATGTAAAGAAACTATGCCTTTGCTTATTGTTTGTTTTCAGGTTTTATAGTAAAAGTGGCTTTATACTATAAGTTATGCATGAGTTATTAACTTTCTCTGTTACATAAATGACATTTGAATAGTTTCTTCAGCAGGTAATGTGACATTTTCTAATACGCTGCACAGATTTGATTCCCACTGCTTGTTCGAGGTGTTTCACTGCCTTTTTGTTGTGTTTTGAATCTTAAATGAGTTTTTCCCCTCAGTTTCATTTCTTTAGCAATTGGTTTCTAGTTAATTGCATGTTATATTGGTCTCAATTCCCATATGTGGGAAAGTGAAAGTATAATTCGATTCCTTCAGTGAGTCTCTCACTACTTTAAATATTGATATCAAACGCTCACTGTTCACCACATTACTTTGTCAGAAATGCTGTTAATGAGAAATACTTTTTGGAATTGCTGCACACCTTCATTTTGTTCTTTCTCTCGGTGAAATTCCTCGTAGAGTGGCTTTGTGTGGTTCCTTTGAAGGGTTTATGGCCTTTAACAGCAGCTCTTTGCTTTGATTGACAGGTGCTCTAGGTGTTCTGCTGTCACTGATCGACTGTCTGTCTGTCTGTCTGTCTGTCTTTGCAGGGCAGTTTTGTGGCGTGTATGACCGGCACTCTGCGGCAGATGGACGACTATCACTACACCCACCTCATCAGCACCTTTGGGAAGATGCGCACAGACGTGGTGGTAAGTTTCCCGCTCAATACCAAGACTCTTTACTCCCACATGTAAACATTTTTGACAGACATTAATGTGCCATCAATCTGTGAACCAGTATTATAGATGGACAAAGACATGCATGGGTCAAAGATGAGACGTCCCATTTTGTGTCCACATCAAATTACATTTACATAAGTGTTTTTATATACACAGAAGCAAATATTACATGCAAGTAAAGTGTCTACTTTAATGTTTCAAGTAACTTTTATAAAAATACAATGTCAAAATATAGGTGAATTAATGTTCCTTCGTCATTCAGCGTAACATTTAGTAGGGCTTGGTTTTGACACAAATTTCACGATTCGATTCTCATTCACAAGCTTTCGATTCGATTACCAATTTGATTCGATTGTAGGTACAGTACATGCCAAATTTTCTCAAGGAAAAAAAATCTCTCAACTAATGCTGTAAAATATACACGAGAGTCAGTTGGTACTACATTATAATATTGAAGGTTAAAACTGACCGATTTGTTAAAATTACACTTAATTAAGTTTTTAAAATACAAGTTACAATTACATAATAATATTTCTACTTCAATTCGTTTTTTTTTTTATATAAACATAATTGTGGCTGTCATAAAAACTTGATGGATTTATTCAAACATAAATTAAACATTGAAGAACAGTACAATTTATAATGAATATGTTATTTGGTGCATATATTTAGCAAAATGACCCTCTCTACAGTCTATTTTATGGTTTATAAAATTACTGAATATGTTTTTCTGAGGTAAATGTGACGTTACGTGACATTGTTTACAAGCTGTTATATTGACGTCTTTGCGCGGCTGAAACACTGATTGAGCGATTACATGAGACAGGATACGGATTGTAAAGTTGTACTCTTTCTTTTAACTTACCTTCGGATGTTTAGTCATGTTTATTTTGTGCTGAAACTGGTATTAATGTGGAGGAGATGATCAGTTCACGTGCGCCTTGCGCTGCCGCGTCAGTTGAACTGAGGCGCTACAGCGATCTGTTACTCCACATTAAACAGCGCCAAAATGGCATTTATTGTTTAAATACTGTCTGTTGATCTGAGGTGCTACAACGATCTGTCACTTCACATTAAACAGCGCCAAAACGGCATTTGTTGTTTGAATATTGCAATACAATGGACAGAATTTGAAATCTGAGACTTTGTTTCATATTAAAAGTACCAAAGCACAATGCTTATTGCGATATTTTGGATGGGAAGTACCCTTCAATGTTCCGTCCATTAACTGAAAACAGGCTAGACTAATAGATTCGTGGGATTTAAGAATCGATATCGTTCCGTAAAAATGAGAACCGATTAATATGGAGATATCGATATTTTTTACCCAGCCCTAACATTTAGGTAAAAATTAAACAACATACTTATTCTGATCTGCACTTATCAAAATATTAATATTAATGAAATTAATGAAAAAGTGAGCATATTAAATTTTAAATTTTAAAACGTCTTGCTGACATATGGGTAAAATGTATACAAAGACTATGTAGACAAAGATTAAAGATTTAAAATTACAATTAATTAGTACTTTGCTGCTGCACTGTGATCCTTAAATAATCTTTTAATGTCATCTAATGATTCTTGTAAATATGCCTGACATTTTTTTTTTTTGGTATATGAACTATTGTTAACACTGAATGATATTTTAGTGGGTGTCTTCTGTAACTCATGGTAAAAGTTCACTTTTTTAACGTTAGTTAGTGTGTAGTATTGCTGTTTGAGCATAAACAATATCTGCAAAGTTACGAAGCTGAAAGTTCAATGCAAACAGAGATATTGTCTTTTAAAATTCTGGCAGTTTAATGCCTACAAAAACGGCTGGTAGGGACTACAAGAAGTTACTTCCCGGGTTCGTGACGTAACAAACCCAGATAAACCCCGCCCTCGGGAAAAGGCAGCAAAGGGGGTGAGGCCATGCTGCGCTGCTTTAGAGAAGAGGAAGAGAAAACTAGAGGTGCACGTAAAAATCTATTCATATGTGAATCGCGAAACGATTCTAATGGATTCACAGGTTTCAAAATCAATGTTCTAAAGCAGCGGTTCTCAATACTGTTCCTCGCGTCCCCCTGCTCTTCACACACTCTGCATCTCTCTCTCTCTCTCTCTCATTCAACTTGGCTCCAACAATGAACTGTTCCAATTATACATTTATTAAAACATAGGCCTACCATTAAAAGCCGTGCTTGCACAGGTTCTGCACGATCCTCTTCAATAATATCCTCTGCTTCTCAATCGGGCTCAAACTGATAAGCGATATTAACAACGCCGCTGTTTACTAAACAACCAGAGCATATGCCACTGAGGTGAGGGGCGGGACGATTAGACGTGCACTAGAGGCAGTTTAGCCAATCACAACACACTGGGCTAGCTAACCAATCAGAGCCCATCGCCTATTTCTGAGGGCGGGGCTTCATAAAAGAAGGAAATGATCAGCGCGTTTCTCAGAGAAGGGACAGAGTGGTGTGGAATAAAGATAAATTATGAGAAAAATAATGCGTTTTTAAAAAAAGCGAAGCATTAACATGTTAGACTGCACACCATAAATACAATCAAGCCTAGAAAAAAAACACTGAACCACCCCTTTAATAAATCTTTCTGACCAAGATCTTCTGTGCTCTAAGTCACTCACAAATCTTTTGACAGTTCAATAATTTCTATTTGTTTTTCACAAAACATTGTTTGTTTTGATGCCTTTTGCAAGAAATTGCATTGTTTCATACTTTTCATCTTCAGAAATATCTTTCTTCCTCACCATATCGCATGAGAACTGTGACTTGCTTAATAATGTGGAACAACCTCTTTAAGTAGGGTTTCATTTACCTAAGAAGACCTGGCAAACTATTGAACAAACCTGTCTGAGATTGATATTGAGATTGATTGAAAGTTATCTAAAAAGATGTGAAAATCAAAACAAACAAAAATCAGACTGTTTATTGTACCGAAATCCTATTGATATGTCACTCGCATAAATATATATATATATATATATATATATATATATATAAATCGTAAAATCAATTATAATTTTATGAATACATTAAATGTTCATTTATATATCCATACATACATACATATTTATAATCATAGAATCAATAAAAAAAAAAAAATTAAATTAAAAATTTTAAAATTTTAATACATTAAATGTTCGTTACATTATTCTGCATGTTGTTGTCATGTCCGGTTCATCCCAAACATTGCGACTCTCCTTTAGGATTTCCTCATGGAGACGTTCATCATGTTTAAGGATCTCATTGGGAAGAACGTCTATCCTGCCGACTGGGTCATAATGAACATGATGCAAAATAAGTAAGTAGACATACTCAGTGCTGTTTGCTAACTACTGTTCACTATAATGCAATGTTTCTATTGGTCAGACCCTTTAATCACCAGAGCAGAAACCAGACTGTGTGATCTGTTAACATGATAGTTACTGATAAAATTGGAAGTACTGTTGCTTAATGTTAACTTGTTTGGTTAAAAAGGGTTAGACTTTTTTTCAGCACTGTTTTCTGGAAGTCAAATGGGTTGCCGGGGAGGTTTCATGTTGACTTCTAATGAGCTAATTGAAATGCTGTTCATTCATTTAGCAAGTTTATTTCCTCGCTGAGCTTTGAGTCAACCTTCTGTGCAGTTTTTCTGTTTTTCGTTTTGCGCTGGAGCAGCATCAGAAATGTGCAGTCGTGTAGAGGGAGCATCGCTTACATTAACTCTCTCTCTCCCTTTAACACATGCTGCTGTTGATTAGAAACAGCAGTCAGAAATGGCCAAGAATGTTTGCGAATATTATTTTTTTTTCTCATCAGTGCAACAGTTTGTGCATGTGTCGGGCATGTAGCGTTTCCGTGTGCACCTGTGTGTATTCGCTCTGTTCTTGCTCTATCAGAAGTGTGGCGGCTGCTGAAATGAAAGCCATGAATTATGAATCTGGATGTGTGTGTGTGTGTGTCTCTCTCTCTAGTTGTGTTTTGTTTTATTCATGGCTCTCTTCTCAACTCCTCTGCCAAACCGTGTCCAGCGTGACTGTGAAGATGAAGGTTTAGCGAGCTTTCACAGCCAGCAGGAAGTCAGACCTGAGTTTCCTGTCGCAGACTTGGAGAGTTTTCTGAGAGTCCCTGATCTGAGCCAACCGTTTTCTTGTTTCACAGCGTTATTGTAATTTTTTATGTTGAGGCAGGAACAGTGCTGGGCAGGAAACTGATTACAAGTAATCTGGATTATGTAATCAGATTCCAAAAAATTAAGTACTTGTAACTGGATTACATTTTAAAATACTTGTAATCAGACTACAGTTACTTTTGTATTGCTTACATGATTAGTCTTTGTCTTTGGAAGGCTTGTGTCTTTCAAACACATTAAAATGCACAAATTTATGTTATTTCTTATTTGCATGTAAAGTAGGAATTCACAAACCTTTTTTTTGTCATCCGATCCTCTTTCACCTAATAAATTAACTTGAAGTGCCCCTGAGATTTTAAGATAATAAGTTAATAACACATTTGCAAGTTCATGATTCTCTGATGTTGGTTAATGATCATATGACCTGCAGGTAAACACAATATTTCATATTTTTTAGTACGTGTTTTATTTTGATTGTTGTTATTTTAAAATGTTTTTAATTTGACATTTTTTATGATTTAATTCATTATTAGCTTTTCATTAAACTCACAACCCCCCAGCAGTTTCTTCACTAACCCCAGTTTGAGAAATCTTTAATGTTTAATGGACTTCATTTTGTTAATAACCAGCCGCATCACTCTTGTGCATGTGTGAGCAGCACTCTCAGAAAGCCTGGTGATCTGCAGCTCTTCAGAGGAGCGAATGTGATGAGACGTTCTGGTGTTCAAAGAAATAAGATCTTCTCTAAAGTTCAGAGTTATTTTCCTGTCTATCTGTGCCGGTAGTGTAGACATGTGGCAGGATAAAATGTTCGGATTCCTGATGTGTTCTTGTGCTCTGGAGGAACACTGCTGGGATTGTGTGTTGGGGTCTGATTGACGCAGAGGTCGTGCGTCAGGCTTTCATATTGGAATTCATAGTCTCTCAGCAGCCACCTGAGTGCCAGAGCGCTGATGGAAGACCCTCCACCTGCAGGTGCGGGAAAGTGAAGTCAACAGGTGCACGAGACCGCGGGAAAACAGTGTGCAGTCACCCTCTCTGTAAGACACTCAGTGGGCATCATAAGCGCTTGTTTGATGTGCCCTACTGCTCACTGACTCCATTTTCACACCGACAGCAATGTGACACAGCGACTCGATTCACTGGTGAAAATCAGATTATTTAATTTCATTTAATTACATTTCAGTATTATTAATGATTTAAATGAACTAATATTTTACAATTTAGATGATAATTGTTCGTCATACTCTGAGCAGTATAAAATTGTATATTTATTTTTCATCAAATAATTAAATTAAGTTACATTAAATTTTAGATTTTGAAATTTAGTTTTGAAATTGAGTATTAGTTTGATTTAAAATGAATTTCAATTAACTAATATTTTAACATTTTGAATATAATTGTTCATGTTGTATTTGCATACAATGCCTTAAATTGACTCCCTTTTAACACCAACATGAATGTATTTAATTTAATTGAATTTACTTAAAATTTATTTTAATTTAAAATTGAATTGAATTTAACCTTAAATATTAGATGTATTAGATATTAGGTTTTAAATGTTTCATTTTATTAAATTATTAAAATAAATTACATTAGATTAAATACTAGTTTGATTTAAATTAATTTCAGTTAACTTCAGTTGTTCATGTTGTACCCTATTTGTCTTCAAAGCCTTAAATTGACTCTCTTTTTACACAGAGAAAAATGGGACACAGTAATTCAATTCACAGGCGAAAATTCTTGTTTTTTTTATTGTTATTATGGAATAATTTCATGAAATTCCATTACATTTTAAATGAATTTTAACTAATATTTTAAAATTTAGATTATTATTGTTTATATGCTATATATTGTAGTATTGTATGCTATAACTGATTTTATTCTGGGTGTTTGGATGTTAAATGGCATGTACAAACAATACTGTGAAAATGATTGAAAAATGTGGCACTTTGAATGTTCACACTCTGTGTGTGTTTCTGGGTGGTGAATCTGTTTTGGTATAGTATCTTGTCATGGTATAAATAACAGGCCTGTACTGTGAACTGCTGGGAATCAGTCTAACGCGCCTGGAATAGTGTTTCTATTTCTTCCAGAATGCGATTAACACCTTCAGTCACATTCATCACAGAATGCAGGTGATGCTGAATGAAAACATTTGCGCTCAGTTAATGGACAATCCTAGATTAGAGTTCACGTGATGCTGATGTGTTTATGCAGGTGAATTAACACTTATGTTAATAAAGTGGCTGTATGTGTTAGAGAAGAGTCCCATTATTACAAGTGCAATATTGACAACTGTGTGAAACGACAAAATCAACCAGTCGCATAATTAGTGTTAAACTGTGGATTTCAGATTTACGGTGTGAATGTGGATGCGGTTTTCGAGCATTCATGTACATTGCTTTGTTCATGTACATGTAGTGTATAATCATTTTCCCTTTATCAGTACTTCTACGCATAGTCATTTTTTCTGGCTTGCATAATATCTAAAGATGGTGCCGTCTTCACACATCACAAGATCTCTCGTTTCCCGTCTGGATTAACTTTGCCGACTCTGAATTAAAAATGAATAAAATCAGTTGATGTTTGAGCTGTCATCTTTGATGTTTTTGATCTGTGTTTCATAAAAGTGTCCCAAATTAGTCTGAAATGTGATCCTGCAAGTTTTAAACATATTTTTATCCCAAAAACTGCCGTCTCTCGTTAAGAATAAACCGCACCTGCTGACAGTGTTGTCTTAGCACCCAGTTAATTATAGTAATTATGCAAATCATGTAATGCCACAGTCACACCCATAAAATTCACTTGATATTCATTGGAATGTGCCAAGACATTTGTATAGTTATATTTTTATATATAACTAACCACATTTCTATGAATATCATGTGAATTTTATAATGTAATGTGAATTATATATTAAAATGTCAAATTTTGTACTACCTTTCAAAAGTTTGGAGTCAATAAGATTTTTTTTTTTTTTGAAAGTCCCTAATTCTCACCAGTGTGTTTATTTGACAAAAATACAGTAATATTATGAAATGTTATTCTTATTTTTTTCTATGTTTTATGTATTTTATTCCTGTGATGGCAAAGCTAATCTTTCAGCAGCCAATTTCGCTGCAAATTCGCTCTGTATGTTTTCCCTCATGGTGAGAGAAAGAAACATTGTAGCTCAGGATTGTTTTTTTATTTCAAAAAACTTGCTAGATTAAATCTGGTCCTCTAGAGAGCTGGAGGTGCTTTCGGTGTAAACTGCAGTTTTTATGAGCGTGGTTTTGGTGTAAAAGTTAGCAGTGCATTATTAAGAGTACGTCTCTGCCCTGCAAAAAGTCTCATAAAGTTTATGATTTTTCCCTCCAGAAATTGGCTTTTGTGATGTCAGCATTTCATCTGTTTATGAAACGGTTTGGCTGCCTCCTCCTCGTGCTGCCGGAGGACATCATGTCTTTCTGATAGGAGCTGATTCTCACTCTTGTTTCTGAGTCTCTCGGTGTAGTTTGGTGAGCGTGACCTTTCTCAGGCTGAGAGCTGCTCTCCATTCAGCCAGTGTGACTCAATTTACACATGACATTTGTTGTTCACTCGCTGCTTGCTGTTGTTGCAGGCCTCTTGTGATTCAGAATGAACTTTATAAAAAAAAAAGCACAAAAGAAACAAAGGCTGCAAAAGGTCCCTTAAGATGCTCCATTCTCTGCATGATTCAGGGTTGACCTGTTTGAATGAGTGAATCACATGGTTTGAAGTGTTTTGAATGAGATGTTCCTCATGCCCCTATTGTAAAATCAATAAATAGATCTGGGCTCCATTTCCCAAAAGCATCGTAAGCCGAAGTAGATCGTAGAACCATTGCCACCAGTGGTCTCTACGATCAAGCTAGCTTACGATGCTTTTGGGAAACGCAGCCCCGTTTTTTTTTTTTTTTTAGAATGGAAACTCTTAAAGGTAGTTATTCCATAAGACAGTATTGCAACAGATTTGTCTTGTATAGTATTGAACCCTTATGTTAATCAGTGTTGTTCTAGTTTTATTTATATAGTGTACTATTATAGTTTTTAATATTTTTCTTAGATTTTTTTTTTCATTTTCATTTTACTTGCAATTTGAGTAATTTGATGTTTATCAATGGAAAGCTTATTTATTCAGCTTTCAGATGATGTATAAAAATCAATTTCAAAAAAATTGACCCT